TGCTCGAAAAAGACTTTTGCGTCGGCCTCCTGGGCAAGGCAGAATTGCATTTGGGAGGAAACATCTGATGATTGAGGCCCTCCGAAACAATAGCTATAATAATTTGACTATAAATGACAAGGAATGCAATAACCGTTTATTCTGGCACGCCAAAGGGGACCTTCTGGGAAGCGCCGGCCAGGACCACGGCTGCCGAGTCCCACGCGCACCAAGCCACGGGACGCAGCGGAGGCGAATGGGGCGGGCTGGGCTGCAGCCGATCAAAGCCAACGCCGGGGTCCGGGAGCAGGGAGGCACTGCCACCGCCCCCAGAGCAGGTCCCAACCAGGCCAGCCAACGACCCACGCGGAATCTCAGACTCTGCAGGGAACGGCTCTGATTCTCCCGGGTCCCCAGCGCAAGATGAATGGGCTGTCAGTCCGGTTCCAGATGCGACCGGACACGTCTTGCCATCCGTCCTGCGTCCGAGTCACGCTTATCTCCTTCCTTCACAGGTTGCATTTGGGCACCATCCACTGTATCAGAGTTTATTTGGTTGGGTTTGCCCCAAATGCTAAGCCACCATCAACCGTGATTTGCCACGCACACCCACCCCATCTTAGGTAGGGAAAGGCCAATGGATTGCTCCATCAGCCCCTCTCCTTCGAAAGGCACACATCCCCAAGTTGTGTTTCCCAGCTACCAGGGTCGCTCATGCAAATTCCATCTGACATTAACCACACAAAATGGCTGTTTTGCCAGCCATTTCTGAACCAAAGTGAAGAAATAAGGAACTGATTTCTTTTCTGGCTGCCTCAAGACAATTTTCGGGCACAGCCCAATTCTTTCATTCTTAAAATGAATTTTTTTTTCACATCATCCCTTGCCGTCTGATGCCTCATTTCCCCCCCCCCCTTTTGCCACTAAACCTCCTCCTTCCTCCCCAGGATCTCTCCATGCAGGAGGGCCCACAGGGGGCGGTCAAAAAAAAAGTCAATGGCAGCCATAACGTTGCAACAGATGCACATAAAAAGTAGGCAGAGCTTCAGTCACATCATCATGACTGCCATCTTGACTTTTTTAAACCATGCCTTGCCTACATACAAGAAATCCGCTTTAATTCTGCTTCCTAGATGGCATCTGCCGGGTTGCCCATTCTGCCAAGGAGGTGCAACCTTCAGAAAAGTCATCCTTGACCACCATCCTGCAAAGGAGAGGCCCCATGTTTTTGTGCGATTCCTTTTACTGATTAGACAGAGCACGATGGGAAGATCTGTCCATCTTCGGAGGTCCTTCCCAACCCTCCCAAGCAGAACGACACTCGATCCTGTCCACTTTTCATCTGGATCAGCAGAAACCAAGATCACTCATCACTCAGCCTGCAGAAAAAGCCTGCATGCCTCTGTAGGGTTACTTTGGGAGACAGGATGCTGGACCACAAACTTGGGCAAGCTTTAAATGTCCCTATGGCTTCTCCTCCAGGAAGAGCCCCCCCCCAAAAAAACTGGCAGCCAAACCTTACACTGTGATCAGCAGAAAGGCAGGCACTGACTTAGAAGGAACAGGAATCAGAAGCATTTAAATACGTCTGGATTTGCCGGCCACAACATTCTCCCGCATTTGTTTCATTTCCTTCCAGGAAATATTCTGAAATCTTTTACTGGATGACCGCCATCCACTGCAGCCAAGCACCGAAATGCCAATAAGGCTATGAAAACAAGGAAAGCTAGCACACGCTACCACCAAATCAACTGTACGCCAAAGGGGCAAAGATTTATCCAACTCTGCAGGACTGGAAGCCCACCATCAAGAAGCAGGGAGGACAATCCACCAGCCGATGGAGGGCTGCACAGGCCAGTTGCTCGATGTCTTCCATATCTGGAAACTTCGGATCCAGAAACTTATGGATGCAGTGCCAAATTTGGGCTCAGGCTCTGTCTACGGAAACCCCTGGAGACCCCACGAAACGACGCTGAAGGTGGGAGGAATTTGTTCGAAAATTCCCCCACACCAACATCCGGTATTGCAGCCGCACATCAATTTGCAGCCAGAGCCCCAGGTTCCGATCAGGAGGAGCTGGCCGGGTTCACCCCCTCCCCAAAGCTGTGGTTTGTAGGATAAACCACAAGCTATCGGCTTACAAAACTAAACACAATCTGTCTTTGGTTGTCAAGTAAGCTGGCACAGATTCGATGTTCCATATTTGAAGGCAGAGGGGTTAGCTGCCCACCCATTCAAAGCTAGAGCCCAAAATTTATAGTTTCATTCAGGCAAAAGCCCCCCCCCCCGTCCCATGCTGGCCAGAAGTCTCCAAAGCCGCCCCTTCCCTGGATCATAAGCCCAGCATTACTGACTCTGGAGTCCCCCCTA